ATGCAACTCCGTCGCATCTGCTTCTACAACCAAGCCTGCGGAACCGCCGAAAGAACGGACGTACATGCCTTTGAAGATCTTTCAGGCTTGTTCTGTGTCACGCTGTGGAGTCTTATATAGGAGTCTTATGGAGTCATGCAGAATGCTGAACACGCTCTGCCGAGTCTGGAGCGAGGTAGTAGCTTGGCAAGTGCTCGGATGCGAGGCCAGCTCCAAAGAAGCGCAATGCATCCAGCATTGGAAGAAGGTATGGCAACCTTTCGCAAGACTGGCTTGCGTCAACCGCACGCAAAGAACTGAAACTCTTGCAGCGATCATGAGGCCCGTTTCAATACATGCTCTCCTTGAAGTGAGATTGGCAACACTTTCAGCAAAAACTTCCTTGTTGTCACAGCGGTGAGAGTTGCGGCCTGATAAGAACGTGCGAATGCCGAGTAGATCCCTGCATATCTGAAAATGTCTGTTCTTTGGTCCAAGCGACATCGCCAACATCCGAACAGGAAGCGGGGTAGCCGAGGCCAAGCTGCTTCGAGGGTGCCTTCCATGCTGCTTCAGTGGAAACATCAGGCAACATGATGCATTAGAACCTGACACTTGCAGGCGACAGGTTAGGCAACGGGTACTGTGACTGGGAAGAGTTCTTCCTGCTTACGTGGACTCGTGAAAGCGGAGGTGCCGGAAGGCTCCATTGTGAACCATCCAGGCCGAAGTTGTCTGACGACCCATGCAAGTTCCGCTCCCCACGGAGTCAACTCTTGCTTCACAGTGCAGGGAGCAGATCAAGCCACCATAAGACTATGTCTGTCGTATGCGCGGCAGGCAGCGATGCTGGAGGTGGCATCGTTGCGCAACCGGCGCGCCTCGAAGTTTCTGTGCGCCTGTCGGTGCCGAGCGCGCAGCCGCCCGCCGAAGGACAACAGATGACAACAGTGAGCTTGTTCAGGATCTCCCATTTGATGGATGCCGAGTGACGCATCATCATGGCATTTCTGGGTGGTTTCTGCGGCATCAGAACTTGTGGACTGGTGACTGCCAGTCGCAGAACCGTGACTCCCGATTGACTCGGCCAAAGTGTGCGCCCCTCCGCCTCGCCCGATCCCAATCCCCAGACCACCGAGCTCCCAAGCCTCAAGTTCAGGGCAAGGACGGCTCGCGCGCTGGGAGCTTTCACGTCTGTTGTAGAGATGAACCGGCAGTTTGTGGTCAGCAGGTTACCTTGTTTACACGATCTAGAGTCAGAGGTACACCAGTTCCCGAGCAAACAAAGCTATCTTCATGGTTCATGCCTCGATCGGTAGCACTGTTGCTCTCTGCCTTGACTCACGTGGAGCTTCCTCACGCTGAGGATGCTCGTCCAGTTGGGGTGCAGGAGATGGCTGAACCTCTTCTCCCCGAAAAAGACTTGGCAGATGCATTCGCACGGAGGGGAACGTAAACGAATCTGAGCGACTTTGCAAGGTGCACCTTGTCTTCAGCCATGTTGAAGCATCAAATTCAAAAGGCAAGCAGCCGGATGAAGCAGGATTCTTGGTTTGTGCTCGACCAAGTCACCTAAGGTGCTGTCATCCGCTGCCTGCTTTCCTAGTTTAGCTCGACATGCTTGCAGAATGCACCTAAATCTTCAAGTCAAGCAACGCGTGACAAGATCAAGCATTCGAGTAGCTGCCCTTGCCTGCTCCTGTCGATGCAATCCGATGCCGCAGATTTCCTCTGAGCTTTCCGTCAGGCCTGTTCCTGCTCTAGTTGATCAGCTTCCCTTCGTAGCCTTTGCGATTCTGATTTCCTTGAGTGGAGGATAGATCTAGTTTCGAAAGAAGCGAAAGTCGATGCGGTCTAAGCTGCACAATTTGCTCTTCGAGGAAGCTTCCAGAATGTCTGCCTGGCTGTCAAGGCTGGGCCTTGGTGCCCTCTGGCTGGGTTCCGTTTGGTTCCCTTCAGTGCCTTGGTGGTTTCGGAGGGCGCCGAGTGCTGTGAGGTGTCTTCGCATAACAAACGCAGATGCTGCCAGCATGACCTTGAGTGCCAAGAGAAGTGCCTTCTGGGAACTGCCCTAGCCGAACCATGGTGATAAGTCACGTTTACTTCTCAGGCCGTGGCCCGCACAGGGCTGCTTGACGTCCTTCCAGTTCTAGGGAAGCGGAATCTACGTGATCTGGAGGTGACGGCTTTCGGCCCGTGTGCTCAGAGAACTTAGACGAATTTAGCAAAGCGTCGCGGCTGCAGCTGACTCTTTTCGGTTCGCCGTCGGCATCGGGCCCCCGGTGCCAAATCCGCTCCTCCGGGCGCACAGAGCCGACACACGCTCCAAAAACACCCTTCCACCTGGGCTGAAATCTGCCATCTGGACCACGCCAACAAGATCGCTGGATTCTGTCCATGCTCAGGCTGCGCAGCATCACTCCAGATGTCTTCTGAAAACCTCTTATTCGACCATGCTACTGCTACTTGGACTTTTGCATTTGCCGTGCCTTTGCTCGTACGTGCTGTGACGTGTGAAGCCCCGCCGAAGCACTCGACAGGCAAACGCTTCGAGCAATCATGTCCGCAAATGCCTCTCATGCATTGCTATGGCCTGCAGGCTGTTAATGCTCATGCTCTTGCAGTCCGGCAGAGCGAAGTCACGCGAAGTCTCTGCAGACACCTCTTGTCCTGAAGAGTCTGAAGGCCACACAGGCCAGAAATGAATCGCGATCGTATCGAGAAATTGCACATTGACATCGCAACTTCTCTTCAGTCTCAGAGGTGTGGGACCCGTCGACGTTTGCCCCTCCAGTCAGGAGACAGGCCAAAGGCTTTCTGCTGAATGGAAGCCCAGGTGGCCTGGCCGGGGTGGCCGTGGGCCGTGGTGCTTGTCCAACATATCCTGCAATTGTGCCTACTTGAAAGCCAAGATGTGTCGTGCCCTCGAAATCTTTCCCGGAGAATGCAACGACAGCTCTGTTTTCCTAAGCGCCGCTGCCCTCATCTTCATATTCGGAGTAGTAACTGTAGTAGCTATATTCGACATCATCTCGCACACCTGTGGCAGGTACAACCTGTCGAGGAGTATAGGGCAGCACCCGACGTGTCACTACAAGATGCGCTTGGGGCGGCTGCGGCCTTCTGTTATGCCCATTAAGTCTCTGTGACGGGTATGCCGCGCACTGCCTGGACTTTGGCTTTGCAACCCGTTGCGAGAGGTCACGGGCCGCATGATGTGACCTGGACAGCCTGGGTGGGGGCAGGCTGGGCAGGCGGACTCGCTCTCGCCTTGTGTGGAGCTGAGGCCTGCGAGGTGGGGTGTGTGGCAGTCTTTCTCGAGAGCTGGAAGCTTTCCGCTCTCGGCGCCCTCCCCTTGGCGCGCTTCGCAAACGCAAGCGGCACGAGGGTTCCTGCCTGTCAGGAGGCAGCCGTGGTCTCCTCCTGGCACTCCGGG